GTGTATTATAATCAGTCATTCATGTCATTACCTGGTCTACAATACCCTCTAGTGCTGACAGGAGAGTAGGGTGGAGGTCTCTCAACATGTGCATTATTTTACTACATCTCCACATCTGAGCCGTAGCACGAATAGCACCTGGATCGCTCTGACTGCTAGAGTCTGTCAAGAAACAACGCAACAGTAGTATATAAATGAAATAATTTGCAAAAAAAATATTTATCTTAAAATCATTTGGTTTTGTTCTGTCTAAGACATAAATGAAACCAAATAGAGGTTTTGCACCACCACGTAACAGCAGCCATGATGGCAGGAACAATACAATCGTTTTACATTAAAAAGAATTCAATTCCCAAGAGCAAAGGGATTTTATTGTTCTGCCATCTAACCACAGGCAACCCAAACTGTATAATGGGCGCCAGCACACGTTGTTGCAAAACCTCTATTATCGAGTGTACATTGTAAAAGGTTGATAACCTACTTGAATTAATACTTGCTGATGGATTGGTGCCATTAGTCTGGTCAGCAGATGCACTTGATGAGACAGGCGCAGATGACGTAGTACTTGCAGCCTTTGTATAAGGAAAAAAAAAGGAATGTAAGAAAGGGCCGTCAAACAACAAAGTATCAATCTATCATGCTTACGAACTAATAACAAAATTTCCTAAAAAAATCGTACTAAGGTTGTTTGTAATATAAGAAATATTTCAAAATTAAACGTATCGTCAAAGCTACTAGAAATGATTTTAGCCCTTTAGATCGAATAGGAATTTCCGCATATTTCTAGTTTAGTTACTCAATAGACCGTTTTCTCGAGATTGCGTGCGCATACAACTTGACGGGCCACAAAACTGAAAACGCTAATTCAGTAAAATTAAGACAGTTTTATATTTAAAGAGGAGAATTTGCGATTTTATGAATTCTTATCGGAAAAAAGTTCATAGCAATGCATAATTATACTCGTGTTCTGGTATCGTGGCCCGTCAAGTTCCTTAAATTTGGACGCGCGCGCAACCTAGAGAAAACGTATGAGTATATTACCTTTGTCGCAGAAGACGGTGTCGCACCTATAACGAAAAAAGCAAAAAAGTAAAAATCGCGGTAAACGTGAACAATAATACGGCTTATCCAAACGCTCTACTTTAAGGTGCTTATCAAGCCTACAGGATCTCCTTTTGATTTCAAAACAATTATAAAATAAATAAGAATGGCCTTTACTGTCTTTTTGATATCTCTTTTTGTTGTCGAGATATTCAATATAGGAATAACGAAATGATGACGTAGTCCTAGGATCCTTGTAAAAAGTCAAATCATCAAATAAAGAATATCTCTGTGAGTTAGCTCAAAATGACTGAAACTTTTGGTCGTCATAGTGTACTATAACCAAATAAGATTCGGGCATTATATCAGTAGTGGGGAAATTACAGTTCACCAACATGCGGAGCGCGGAGCCTAGGTCCCAGGCCGTTCCCGGTCATCCTACGCGGGCGCTTATTGGCTAAGGAGCTCAGCTATTGTTGGAGTGCTCGATCCCAGTCACCTTCCCGGATATCCCGGTGCTCAACCCCAAACCCCACTCTACTGCTCGTTCATTCCAGCGATTGGCTAGGGTTTCTACTATTGTGTGACATCACCAAACCGGTGCGTGACACTATTCTAGGTTTTACTATTCATTTGTTTACATTGTACATATCAAATGCTTCTTTGTATTATTCTTTGTCACGGTTGGCTTCCAATAATGTCGTGTATCCGTAAACGGTTTTGGAGATTCTTTGATACATTTTAGGTTCATTCTCGATCAAATATTTCATCCGATCTGACCTCGAAATTTCACAGGATTTGAATAAAGTAGTCATTGTTTTTTGTGGAATACCTTCGCTTTGTTCGGTGGATAAGTAAACAGCAGGTGATAGCGACTCAGATTGATGACAGCCGATAAAATGGAAGCAAGCTGTCAGCTTTTGTACTTTGTCAATTTACGATATGCAAATTTCTAGGTGTTCATTTTTCGACAACAAAAGTCATRCAACAACTCCAAATGAAGCTTATTCCTCCATCATCTGCTTTGACTTGATTTTAAAGCGTAATCTAGCGAAATTTTCAACCACTCTTATAGGTCTTGGGATGCAGGGAAGTTTACAACAATTGTTAGCTTTGTAAACAATAGCAGGGATTACCAATAATGTGCAACATTTGAATAATTAAGGTCGCGGCGCGAACCCCGAAGAATAAATGTTAACAAGAAGTGAAAACGCGCCAAGATTCTACTTGAAACCGTGACATAATGTAATTTTATCAATAATGTCATTTAAAAAATTGTAGTGCAAACACTTTTCTACGACAAATACAGATAACAATTCTCTTTCCAGACAAAAACGTTTTTCACTTTAATCAACGAAAAAAAATATTTCCTATCTATAATACAAATGTGATTTCGCATCCAGCATGAACAAGGTAACTTACTTGAGCTACATCACAGGGCCATAGCCACCATTTGGAAAGCAGTCCGGTTTTTTAAGAGTCCGATTTTTCTCAGATAATAATAGATATTTTTCTTTGAAGAAGGAAAGTAGTTCTGGTTGTAAAAAGTGGTCTGGTTATAACTGCACCAACCGTACCGATGGCTACGACCCTGCATCAGACTAGTGAAACATCTAAATTACTTACACAGAAATATTTAGATTACTTATTACTAACTGAAACTGTTTATTGCCAGTTGCAGATTTTCAATAGTGTTCCGAACTAAGCGAAATGTCACACTGGTCACGCAACATTGTTTGTAGAGTATTACGAATTAGAATATGGTGTGATTATTCTTAGGTCGTGCATCAGAGTAATACCAGGTTTTGATATTAGGCCTATCTCTTATTGCTTGATGGAACTTCTTTAAATGTGTATTCTCTTTATCAAACAACTCAGGAAATTGAAACATATTCCCATCAACAAAATGAAATATGCAAAAATCAACCCAGGAGATTTGCTTTCCCACGAACACTAACTCTCCATTCGCCAAGTAGTTATCTTTCAAAGTAGTTTCAAAGAAATCCAGCCACCTTGGTAGTCGCTTTGTCTTGTAATATTCAATAAAAGGCTTTGCTTCTTCTTTCTGCGAGTCGTAGTCTGCGTTATAGTCGATAGGGTGCCACGCTCTGCAGCCTTCCTCGACCACATCCACCACTCCAGCCATCAGCACTTCGGCTTGTAAACGATCTTTCTCCGTGTTTGGATACAATCTACCGTGGTCAAGTTTCTTTCCCAGATATCGACATATCACAGGCGTTTGGCTAATCACGATATCACCGTGTTCAATCACAGGGAAGGCAAAATGCTTCTGGCCTCTACCATATCCCATTTGCTTGGCTTCCTCGAAACTCTTGTCTTTAAACACATCTTCGAAAGGTGTTTGTGTTTCAAGGAAAAGAAGTCGTACGAACTCCCCTCTTCCTAACATCCCAGGCCAGTAGAAGAGCTTGAATTCGGGTTTCTCCGACATTGTAAGTAGAATAACGAAATGACACAGAACTCGCGTGGCAGGGTGCAAGACGACGGGAAGAGGTTTTCGTGACTTCTGCGCGTCGGGGATTAATGCAGAGGGGTTTTCAGTCATAACACGGGGGTGCGTGGCTGACCTCTTTTCCAACGCTTGAATAAAGTGTCTTGCTGTGGCTGACCTTCAGTAATAAATTAACATCGAGCTCCGATTTCAACCTCGTGGTCGTGTTTCACTATCGGTTAAATATTTTGAAATCGGAGAATCGATCGTGAGTCACTCGGTATTCATCGGTAACGTACTTAAAATGCCCCTTAGTTTCTAATATGCAATCTGCACAATGAATCTTTTGACGTATCATAGAATAAAGAACAAAAAGAGAACAGTTTTGGTGCCTTTTTTGTTAATAGAACAAACAAAAAACAAGTCAAAATACTTTCTAATTATGCACATAAAATAATCTAATTTAGTTCGCACCACTGCGCTTCGGCATCGCTTTCATGTTTTGCTCGAAAACTGTATACATTTTTTTACGCCTAACCCCCTTTTTCCCTTTTGAAACTCATGGAATTCCTGTTCAGGATTTCGTAGGTCTAAGACCCACATCCATTTCCCAATGGATTAGTTCATCAAGAGTGACCTTTCTTCCCTTGGTTCTTTCAATCTCGTCTATCCTTTCTTTGTTGGCAGTGTCCTTACAGCATCCATAAAACAAACATCTGAGAAATGTCTGAAGCTCCTTGATCCTCCCTGTTTCATCCTGGTCTTTCTCAATTTTTAAGTTTTCCATTTGTTTCACGAGATTTGCTATTGCTTTTTGTCCTATTCTACGTTTGAACAGCACGGGGTTAAGAACACGAGCACTTCTCAACTTCATCGTTAGAACCTTGTTTCGGAGTTGCTATATTAAGGAGCTGAGCAGGATTGATGAGACTTCACCCTCTCAATCCCTTTCCATAAACTACCTCATGACGTACATGTTTGGTGATGTCATACCAATAGTAGAAACCCTAGCCAATCGCTGGGATGAACGAGCAGTAGAGGGGGGTTTTGGGTTGAGCACCGGGATATTCGTAAAGGGGATTGGGATCGAGCATCCCAACAATAGCTGAGCTCCTTAGCCAATAAAACGTTCGCGTAGGACGACAGGGAGGGGCCTGTATGTTGGTGAACTGTCATTTCACTACTACTTATATCATTTCGTAGATTCTATATTGGCCATTCTTATTTATTTTAAAAGGGCTTTGAAATCAAGAAGAGATCCTGTAGGCTCGATAGGCACTTTAAACGGCGATTTCAAACGTATCTGTCCTCGTGCACGATCAGCACTGATCACTAATCATTCCCTTGGGAATATCTAAATGTGCGGCGGTAGGGCCAGTCATGCTTCTGACTGATATCGCACTTGCTTCAGTCAAACGACAAACAAACTGTATTACATACCACTAGTAGGATCAGCTGTTTTGACTTGTGGAGTCGTTAATATTGTAGTAGCTGGGTCTGTAGATGGTGGTACTGATGTAATATTCTTGTTATCCCCACTAGAATCACCCGTCGCTCCATTCGTCGGCGTGGGTTGACTTCGGTGGTTGGCTATCGCTGCTGCTGCAGCTTCAACTTTGTCTGTCGAGAAGGAAATCATAAATGTGTAGTAATCTGTATTCTAATGTGGCAACAAAATGTCAATAGACCTCTTGCATGTGACAACAAATCAGCTCAATTTGGATGACAAAACAAAATACTTTAAGTTCCAAGGTTTTCAATTCTCATGAGAAGTGGAAACCTGAGCTGCATTCCGACATGCTGTAAGGGGTCTAAACCATGCGTGTAAAGAACAAAGTTTTTCCAGAAACATTTCCGAGATTATCGACAGTTCAAGTTCTTTCTGGCTGACAGCATATGGTGGTCAGTGTCTGACCACAATTTGGAGCAGATAATGAGATTCAAAGACTTTTACCAGCTGATTTAAACCCAGCAATAGCGCAAATATTATCAAAAATAAGGACTTAGTATCAATAAAGCTCCCTTTTCTTTTTGGTTGATATAATTATTGTGCATTATAAAAGTAGGAGGAAAGAGAAAGAACAAAATTACAGAATTTGTATGGAAGAAAATTGGAATTTCCGGGGATAGGGGGGTCTTTGAAAATAAAAATAATTCCTCCGTGGGGGGTAATTTCTGGAACTACACAATATCAAAACACAGGGGTTCACCACCACCACTTACGTCTTTCCCTCTGCTCGATTTTCCACGTTAGATACAAAGTCCTGATTGGAAAATACATGGCCTAAAATAAAAGGAGTATAGTGAGTACCGGATTGAAGTCTTGCAACCTGAAACAGATTTGAAAGAGTTAAGGTTACCTGGGGATAAACACGGCCGATGTTTCCAAGCAGATTAAGGATCTTCTGACCTTCTTTTCGTACTAGACACGTTAACAACTGAGGTATCCTGTGGTAGTAGGAGGAAACACGCACAAAGGTCAGAGAAAGGAAACAAAATCTCAAACAATAACTCTAACTTTAATAGACCTTCAGACCATGTGTCTTTCCCTAGAGTATCATTTCTTTCTTTGTTGCACAGTTACACACGAGAAGACACAAGAATATGGATACTATTACTATTATTATTATGGATACTAAATTTTGAACTCGAACTATGACAACATGAGATCCGAGTCGCTGATAAAACAAAGTAATCTGGCAAAAGCTATCGTGATAATGGTTTGCAAACTAGCATCACATCAAATGTAGTATCAACTAGTGCTTTTACGTCCATCCACAAAACTAAGGCTAGGGTCCGCATTACGTGCAATTTGTAACGGGGGTCTCTCAGCAACACATTTCAGACCTACCATGGCAGCCAGTGAACAGGTGGCACTCCAACACAGTACTTATCAACAGCGTCAGCAATCGACCCCTGATAAAAGAAAATAAGAATAATAATAATCTAAAACTAAACCAATAGAAGGTTGAGGCGCTTCAATTTCGCCGACGTTGTTGCCCGCGTTGCCGTCCTGCACCTTAAGGTCCCTCATGCTACTGGTTGTGAAGACGCTGGGAGTCGTAGAGCAGTAGTAGAAGAGCTCTCACTCATATCTCGACTGCGCTGTCTTTCTTTGAATTGTTTTTGCTTGCTTTGTCAGTTCTTAAGATCAACGTTTGCTTTGTCAACGAAATCAACGGACAAGACTTTGAAAATATCTTTTCTAATAGATCTTTCACGAGTGATGTAAGACTGGTTGCAAGTGGAGGTTGTACTTCATGTGTTCATATATTTACTGTATTTTATCCAGTCCAACCTTGATTTRCAACCACTAAGCGAATTCGAGAAAGGTCTATTGGAAGAAAGAGGGGGGGGGGGGGGATGACCATTACGAATGTTTTACTAGGGATTCGAGTAAAAAAAGGGGGGGAGGGACACTTACTAACGATATACAGAGAAATTGTAGCAAAAGGATTCGCCCCTGGAAAATAATCTTAAACAAAGGATGATATAATCTACCTTGTCATCATCGTAGGTCATCAGCCAGATGGTTCTGGCCAGGTATTTACGACACTTGGTTTCGTTCTGGTGTCTACATGCATGTAAATAGCACACTATAGCTGATACACCAAGCTGCATGTTCCTGGAAGAGTACACACACACACAAACACACCAAATATCAGTATTCAAAAGACAGTAGAGGTAGAATGCTTTTAACCTACACATGTCATGTATCTACCTCTCTCTGGTGAACAAATTGTCCAGGTAATCTCCCCACAGGGCCCAGGCTTTGACCAGGGAATCATGCATTTGTACTGCCTGTGAAAAAGCCTTGTTTGCGTCTTCAGACCTGAAACAGAAAAAGACCAACACTATATTTTAAGGCACGGGGTGTGGACTTATTCCTAAATACACTATAATATTGTGCATCTAACCATAGGCAGCCCAGGCTGTAGTATGGGCCCCGGCACGCGATGGTACAAAGCTTCTATTTTTTATAGTCCTTTATCACACGGCGCCATAAGAATAAAAATATTTCTTTACCCACGCGTAACCTCACCTCGAAGCACTTGAATGAAAGTCTATGCATGGAGAAATCTATTATTTCAGTCAACATGGATGCCACGTGATAAAGGTTTATCACTTTATAAATACCTTCCAATGTGAGCTAAGAACATGCCCTTCAGTGCGTAGAACTCAGCTGTCATTTCTTTGGTGAAATACTTGAGGTTCGTTGATTCAATTACTTCAAGGCCCTATCAAATAAGAGTTGTGTAGAAGTTAGATTACCCAGGCACTTAATAAACACCTTTTTGATTACTGTTAGACATACTGTTATTGAACAGAAACAACAAAGACCCCAAAGTAATACAAAATAATGAAGCTATTCATGAAGCTAACGAAGAATACAATAGGCTTGCGTGTACGTAGAAGGACCCGTTGTAACAGAGAGAAATAGGGACTTTAAGATTTGCAAAATCAACGACGGCGATGTCAACCGGAAGTGTGAATAACTTCTCTCTGGGTTTCTGTTCATTGGAGATTTTATTCAAAACATTGTCAGTAAAGTCAACTCATCCACAGGTAAGACAGACTTCGAATTCGCGAAACCCCAAAGTGAAGTTATTTACACTTCCGGTTGACATCGCCGTCGTTGATTTTGCAAATCTTAAAGTCCCTAATATCTGATGTTGCTGTAAGGTTTGATTGTYTAAGATTTATTTAAAGACAAAAAGCATGCAACGAGCCTACTTTTGTTATCTTAATGAGAGAACTGGGGATCCTTTTACAGACAGAGCAGTTTTTATGACTGTGAAAAGTTCAGTGTCGCATGTGTGTCTTGCCGTCTCCGTAATGTTTGCTAGAATTCTAATTGGCTAATTGTTTTTTTCTCGCGCAATGTAATTGATCTTGCATTGCCGTGACCGTGTCCGGGCCGTGCTCGTGCCATGTTCGTGCCGTGTTCCGGGCATTTGATTGGATGCAGAGTAAATGTGATTGGTCTGGCAGTACCGTGACTTTGGTGTGACAGTGTCTGCGCCGTGTTCGTGTTGTGTTCGGGGCATTTGATTGGATGCAGAGTAAATGCGATTGGTCTGGCAGTACCGTGACCTTGGCGTGACAGTGTCTGCGCCGTGTTCGTGTTGTGTTCGGGGCATTTAATTGGATGCAGACT